GGGCGGCCGTCCTGTCCGTCAGTCGGGGCGGCTGTCCTGTCCGTCAGTCGGGGCGGCTCCTCTGGTCTGCATTGCTGTCCTGTCTGTCAGTCGGGACGGCCGTCCTGTCCATCAGTCGGGGCGGCCGTCCTGTCCGTCAGTCGGGGCGGCTGTCCTGTCCGTCAGTCGGGGCGGCTCCCCTGGTCTGCGTTTGGACCTCCATGCTCCTGGGGTGCACGGACCAGCTTTGCAGACTTGCCCTGAACTGGCGTTTGTATGGTTCCTCATGACCGGAGTCAGTGTTTCGCGTTTTTGGCAGGGATACGGGATACCACGGGAAGCACATGACGTGTCCTACGGTTGGTGATGTTGTGACCCCTTGGTGCAGGGGTGTCTGACAAGTGTCACCACTGTGAGTTGCTCTTCTTTCCCTTTTAATTAACAGTCATCACAGGGGCACTGTCAGTTCCCCGCCCCTCAGGCTCAGCACCTGTAACCGTCTGGCCTGGAGTGAGCATTACCATGATGTTTCTAATCCGTCATTCCGTATTTATTGGCTGACATCCTGGTATCTGAAGGAGTTTCCCCTTTCCCCTTTTTATTCATTCATTCATTCATTTGTATCAGTATAAATTCATGGAATCTTTTCGGATGGCTTAATCCATTACTATTACTATCTTTTTAAAATTTTTATGCATTTTAGTTTTTAAAAAATACTTGTGTTTTAGGTGAAAGTTTACGTGGCACATTAGGTTCCCGTTTGACAGTGTCTGTACAGGTTGTTCGGTGACATTGGTCACATGTTCACAGTGTGTCAAGGTCTCATTATTCCCGCTGTTCTTTTCCCATTCACCATTCTTCCCACCCTCCTTGCCATCTCTGCTTTTGGGTAAAGGTTGATTGCTTGGTCTTATGGTTAATTGTTTAAGGGACCCATTACTCACAGGTGATATTGTTTATTTTATAAGCCAGTCTATTTTTTGGCTAAAAAGTAATGCCCAGAAATAGACTCAAGCCCAAGTTCAAAGGGTATCTTAGTGTGGTAGTCTTGGGGCCCCTTCTCATTATCTGTTTTGATGCTCACATTGTCTCAGATTTGGCCTAAGTGCTGTCCTTCAAGCTGCCTGCTGTGTGTGTTTTTTTAATGCATTTTGTTGCAGCATAATTTATGTATAATGAAATACACAAAACTAAAGTAACATGAGTCAATGAATTTTTTTGTTTTCAGTGTTCCCTCCCCTCCCCTCTCACCCCTGGCAACCAACAAAGAAAGTTTCCCTCCATATATAAACCCTTCCTTGACCCTCCACAACAACGAACTAATACTATATTTGTCCTTCTGTGATTGACTTATTTTACTCAGCATAATGTCCTCCAAGTTCATCCCCGTTACGCAGTGCTTTGCAGACTCTACATTATTCTTTAGTGCTGCATAGCGTTCCATTATGTGTATGTACCATAGTTTGGTCATCCGCTTTTCTGCTATAAATCTTAGAGATAAGTCCCTTGCTAGATATGTAATTATTGGCAAATATAAATTTGTTACTGTCATTTTTGTTATGTGCTTTCTCGTGGTGTCGATTTCTTTGTTCCATATAATTTTCTATGCTGAGCTTACTTTGTTTATGAATCGTATTATCACTTCCTTCATTGCTATTGTTTTAGTATTTGCTGAATATTTGTGCTGGTCCTCTTTTTTGATGTGAAGGTTTATCATTTTTCTTTGAGGTTACCCTGTGATTTATAGTTTTCTTCCCAAGTTTAGAACAGTCTGTTCTATCTTGTAGTTGTCTTGACTTCCCTACCATCTAGAAGTCCTGTAACAACAGAGTTTTTTCCCTCCTTTTGGTTTGTAGTTGTCCTCATTTGTCAATTGATGTCTCTGGTTCCCTGTTTACAATCTTGTAGGCTTATTTACTTTGGATCTTTCCAGAGCTGGATTGGTTTCTGGGTTATATCATCATGTGTGTTAATGGTCAGTTGTTGGCTGTTGTTGCTTCTCTGTCCAGAGGGCTCCCTTTAGCAATCTCTTGTAAGGTTGGTCTGGTTTTAACAAATTCTCTTAATTTCTGCTTATCTGGAAATGTCCTAATTTCACCATCATATTGAGGGACAGTTTTGCTGGGTACATAACTCTTGGTTGGAAATTTTTCTCTTTCACAATTTATATATACCATCCCATTGTCTTCTCGCCTGCATGGTTTCTGCTGAGAAATCCGAGCTTAGGTTTATTGGTTGCACCTTCTAAGTAACTTTTTGTTTTTCCTGTGCTGCTCTCACGATTCTTTCTTTGTCTTTGGTTTTGGTATGTTTGATGATGATATGTCTCTGTGATTTTCTGTTGGGGTCTATCCTGTTTGGGGTTCATTGGACTTCCTGAATGGATATCTCATCTTTCATCATACCAGAAAAATTCTCTACCAACAAATCTTCGACAATTTTCTCTGTGGTTTTATTTTTCTCTACCTGTTCTGGAATTCTGATTACACACAGGTTATTCCTTTTGATGGTATCCCACATAAACCTTAGGCTTTCTTCATTTTGCTTTGATCTTTTTTCTCACTGATCCCTTTCCAAAGAAGTGTTCAGGTATTTGCCTTCAATCTCCCTAATTCTGTCTTCCATTGATTCAATTCTGCTCCTTTGCCCATTCAATGCCTTATCTATTTCTGAAAATTTAGTATTAATCTTCTGGATTTCTGTGTGTAGATTTTGTATCATTTCTAATTTTTCATTTATTTTGTCATTTTGTTCTTGTATTGTCTTTGGAAATTGTTCTAGGGTTTTTTCTCTATTTTCCTTAATCTGTCCCTCAATTTGTTGAAGATACCTGAATATAATTCTTTTGAATTCCTTATCAGGGAGTTCCAATGCTGGGTCTTCCTCAGGGATGTATTTTGGGTCTGTATCCTGGTCCCTTGTTTCTCCCGTTTTATCTTGCTTCTTTGTGTGGACTGTGATGCTATGTTTTCTCTGAGGCATTGTGATGTTTTTGTATTTATATTTAATTGGTGATTGTATGTTGGAGTGACTTGCCCATGATTTTCAGGTTTTTTTGTATGTTATCTACGCAAGTAGGGTTGTTGTTGTTGTTGTTGTTGTTGTTATGTGTCATCAAGTCGGACCTGACTCATAGCGACCCCTCCTTGGGTTTCCGAGGCAGTATCACTACTGAAGTAGATTGCCCCATCTTCCTTCTGAGGAGTGGCTGGTGGGTTTGAACTGTCAGCCTTCTGGTTAGCAGTCAAGTGCCTTAGGCACTGTGCTACCAGAGCTCCGCAATACTGTGCTCCTCTAT